GAAGTATGGGTACCTTTTTCTTTTTCTGTTAATAAATATATACAATTTGTAGTTTTTCTCTCTATTAAACTAAATAACTAATCAAAATAGAAAGTTGTTTATTTTCTAAGACAATGCTTTGTATGACGCCCGCTTAGTATGACGTGTTTGTCATTTCCCTTCGATGTCATTATAAGCGGATTCTATTGTACGTATATATGTTTTGGTTTTGCAGAAATGATATTTGTAAATTCTTCAGGTGGATGTGGCTGTGGCAAAGAAACGTGTAATTTCTCTTGTCAGTGAACGTTTTGCCTTACCTGTATAAGTGGATTACTTTTTTATCGAAAGTGCACCCTTTACTTTATTGAATGATTATTATCTGCTGCTTCTACATAGTAATTCTCTTCATGACAATCGGAAAAAGCAAAGAAGAGCATTTGTATTTATGTATTAAATCGTAGTGGAGATTAGTTGAAAGAAACAAACGACATCCAAATTAAATATAGACCATTAACATTTCTGCATCTGGCTGAAATGAGAAAGAAAAGGAACATCATCACCGTTTTCTACCTGCGTTTATACGAATCACTCATAACAAACGAACCCTCGTCCGAAACAAGAGAGAAACAATTAAAAGTGTAAATTACAAAACAGGAATCGTGTCTCGTTCTGAATGAAAAATGTCCTAAATGAAAAATAACTCACGTGAAATATTGTTTTCTCCTGTTTCGCTTTTTGATTTATTTCCGTTAGCAATTATATCACCCGAACTAATGATGTAAATGTTGTATCCACTTGGCGTCTTTCCTCCAGCCATTAGGATCACATGATATTGCTTGCTACCTGCACGATTTTATCGCAGGTATACCGTACGGTGATGCTACAGGAATACTATAATTTTGCAATAATTGGTGTTTTTGAACAAAAAGTTTTTGTTCTTTTCAAAAAGCAACAAGACCAGAGAGTAGCTTCAGATATAATGTTGATGTCTCATGCTTGATTTTTCTTTACAGTTATTTCATTATCAGGGATTACTTTAGATTAGAAGAGAGAATTAACCGAGTGTGCATCATTTCTGAATTAAATAAGGTCGTCATTATACAGATAAATTAATTGTATTTAAAAACCAGAACCTTAATTCCAATGAAGGAATGTAACCTAATTTAACCTAACCAATCCCATCATGAAGGTGTTGTGTTATCCTATTTCTCCTTTTGTACGTAATAAGGACGGAATGGGGAATGGTTTTGGCAAACAAAACAGGAATTATTAAAGACAAATTTTTTGATATTGTAAAACAAATTAGGGAAGTTCGGGGGATCATCGAATACGTGACACCACATGAGTCCATGGACGTGCAGTTCACAGCAAAAGAAACTCATCATCATAATGTCGTCAGTCCTAAGACTGGTTGAACATGCATCTCTACTCTTTCCTATCCTGAGCTAATGTTCGAATTTGCCAAACACTAGAACATCCCACGAACAGTAATCTAATCTAGGTCTACCTCTACTCCTCTTAACTCCTGTTTCTGCCTCTAATATGTCTCTACCTTCATGCCTGAGAAGGTGTCCTACCAAATTATTTCGCCTGTTTTTTTGTCGACTTCCATAGAGTCCTTTGTTCTCCTATTCTATCTAATACCTCTTCATTTCTAACCTTCTCTATCCACGGTATCCTCATCATTCGCCTGTAACAGCACATTTCAAACGCTTCTAACCTTTTCTTTTTCACCTTTGGTCTCGATGTGTTCAGATGATAGGTGGATGATTTAATTAATAACACGTGAAAACGGTAAAGTATTTAATTTTACAGAAAATGAAATGAAGACTAGAAATGTAGAAGTAGAAGTTGAAGTTAGGAAGCACAGGTCAGAACTGATTTTAGTTTTCGAAAAGAGATTGTAGAAAGGGTGATAAGGAGGAGTTAGAAATAAGTGATTAAAGTAGGGAACCAATAAGTTGCTAGTGAAATCTGGAAATGACGATTAGAAGAAATACCAAGAAGTTAAGTTTGAACTGAAATAACCGAAGAGACCCATCATAAAATAGCAATTAGGAAAAGTAAGGATTATAGATGTC